TCCTTCTATGGGATACTTTCCCCAGATGTCCGCGAGACTCACTCCCTGCATCCTTTGGGTCTTTGATCTAATGGCACTTTATCAGAGAGTTCTTCTCTGACTGCTCTGTATTTAATAGTAGCCCTTCCTGCCCCATCACTTTTGTTCTCTTCATTCTGCTTTCTCACTTTCTTCAAAGCATTTATCACTTCCTGACATGTTATATATTTGCCTGTGTCTTGTCTTTTTCCCCAGTAGAGTGTAAGGCCCAGAAGGGAAGGGATGACATCAGTTTTCACTCACTGGTCCTATCTCCAGCTCCCAGAATGGGGCCAGGCACGCAGACACTCGATAAATACTTGTTGAATTAATAGACAAGAATGTCGGGGTGCGTGGGTGGCTCAGTCTGTTGAGCGTCTGGTTCTTGATTTTGGCTCAGGTCATGCGCTGGGTGTGGAGCCTGCTTGGGATTATTTCTCTCCCTCTTCCTCTGCCCCCCCCCCCCCCCCGGCTCACGCATGTGCATGTGCTCTCTCTCTCTCTCTCTCTCTTTCTCTAAAAAGAAAATTGATAAGAATGTCCATACATATATACATTGCTAAACCATTTACAGAATAAAAAATGTGAAAATAGCACAAATCCCCAACAATTAAATAAATTAAGGCATTAACAAGGAGTTAAATAAATCAAGGCAGAGCCACCGGATAGATTGCTATGCATCCATTAAAATAGTGTTGTTGAATATTCAGCGACATGAGCAAATGTGAACACAACTTTGAGAAGTAAAAGCAAAAACACCCAGTACACTAAAAGTACATAAAATAGAACTAAAATTTAATTTAAATAAAGAAATGATTTTGTGAATGGATAGAGAGGGAAAAGGAGAAGTTGACCAAATAGAGAGAAAAGAGGCTAGAAGCACGTATGCTAAGGTGTTCAGAATGGTTAGGGCTCAATGGTAGAATGCTGGGTGATTTTTATTTTCCTTATGCTTCACCATTTTGCCCAAGTTTTCTTTTTTTTTTTTTTA